CTCAGAAGTATCTGGGCAGCTAGTCCAGGGTCACACACTACTGTGGCTGGACAACATGGTACTAGGATTGGCTCTGATGCCCAGAGGCTGCAGTGCTTTCCCAGGGGTTGCACTGGTCCCTGAAAGGATCCTTTGGGTCTTGCAGTCCCCTCTGAGCCACCCATCCTGTGCTAGGATGGAGATCTCTACAGGGTATCCTGAATCTCCTCATTAGTCAAATGCACTGCTCTCTGGTGTCTTGCTTTGTACTGCACTCTTGGGTGGGATCTCAAGCCTGCTCAGTGCATCCTGCCCAGTCTTCTGCCCTTCCCAGTTTGCTGTTCAACCTGGATACTCTGGTGACCTCATCCAGGCCTGTGACCTTAAGGATTTCTCCATACTGTCTATCTCCAGCCAGACATTTCCCTGAACCCTGATTTTACACGGCCAGCTATACTTGAGACAAATGTGCCCTCGGTGGGCAGATCTGTGAGTGAATTTAATCCAAATCCTCATTCCCCCATCTGACCTACCCCAGTGAAGCCTCTCCTTCTTGCTGCTCATGCCACCCCACAGGGTCCTCTCAGATGTTTCTCTTCTTCTTACTCCATTCCTCAAACTGTCTGTAGATATATTTTTTTCTGTAGACTCTTGCCATCTCTCCACCCTCTGCCCACTGTCTCTGCACTCAGATTGTTAAGAAAGTCTGATGTCCCCCACTTCCATCTTGCCTCAAGATGCCTCCACTCTGCATCCAGGAGCATTCAGGCCTCCCACTCCCAAACCCCCTACCCTTCACAGTCTTCAAGGAAACTCCTTTCTTTTCCTCCACCACCCACCTGCCTCCCAGGATATAGCAACTGCCCACCACCCACCCTCAGTATGGCATGATTATTTCCTATGGTTTATCTACTTTCAGCTCCTGCTCCACATGCCACACCACAGACAGCACTAGGTTTATGGTTTATACCCTTCAGGGAATGGGGGAAGCCCTCAGGTGGGAAAAGCCCTGTGTTTGGTTGTGATTGTGGATCCCCATTACATATCCTGTGACCTCTTGGGCAAGGTTAGCAAGAGGACTTGTGAGTTAACAGGGTTAACCTTGCCTCCCCAAGGTTGCTGTGGCAGGGCCAGGCACTGTCTGTGCTTTTCTCTCTGGAATACATATACCTGAGGAGCTGAGGAAGTGCCTCAAACTCCCTAGGCAGCAACTTCATTTCCTATCCTGCTCAGGAAAGTCTTGTAAGCTTGACACATAGAGAGACACTTGTAGCTCCCCAGCTGGGCTCATGGAAGGTCTGAAGGCCAGAGGAGTTCAGGGGCAGGCTCAGATTGTTGCCTGGGTTCACACCCCAGCTTACGCTTTGCCTCTGTGGGTTTGGGGAAGTGTGTGTTTGGTTCCCTTATTTGTGAGAAATGAGAATAATAAAAGTACCTGTGTCAGGGAAATTATAGGAATGAAGTTGAAACCCAGGAATGTCATAGTGGGCCTGGCCCACAGTCCCTGCTCCTGGGAACTTCCCAGAGAATCTGTGAGGCAGACCTCAGCTCATGATATGATACTCATTTTTCCCTTCCTATGCACACAGCCTTGAGATTGTGAGGTCATGCCTTGTTGGAGCTCCCTTCTCTGGGCTGCACAGACCTGGTTCTAGGAGTATAGGGATCTGCAGGTCTGATGTACCCCAAGGAAGGAACTTTTACCCTCCAAAAATGAGGCTTGCCTTTGCAGGGAGCTCCCCACAGCAAAAGCTGAGCCCCCAGGTAGCTGTAAGCTCAGAACCTTCTAGCACCTGTCCACCAACCTATCCCAAAGGTTGGGGAATGTTCATAAGTATGTCTCTGTGTGTGTGTGTGTGTGTGTGTGTGTGTGTGTGTGTGTGTGTGTGTTTAGGGTTCCCACAGCCCGTGTGGTGTAAATGAGGATAAGAGAATCTGCAGCACTTGGTTTAGACAGAGCTCAGACCTTTTTCATGTCCTATGACCTTGCAACTTGGACTAGTTAAACACACCTTATTGGAACCCCAATGAGAATGCAAACCTATTTTAATAGAAATCCATATTTTTTCTGTATCTCTATTTAAATAGATTTTAATTATTGACAGCAAATTTAAGTTTTTTATAATACTATATAGGGAAAATCAGACCCACAGACCAGATGCAACTTTATTGTGTAGAATGGGATAGGCTGCTGCCAAATGTCCCATCTCACTTCCTCACTGATACCCAGATATACTGTCTGCCTTCTTTTCTGTAAAGGCCAGCAGAAGGTCCAGTAGGTGTCCTGGGTTGATGTAAGATCCCTTACAGGGTCATGTGAGGTATTCTGTTACAGCAGGCCACACCCCCATGTGCTTCTTACAAAATGCTTTCAGGATTCTGCACAATGGATTCTTAGGAGAGAAGCTGCTAGATCAAAATTAAATTTTGATAGAAATTCCAAATTGTCCTCTGGACGGATGGTATCAGTTTGAAATCATGTGATGCCTGGGATTCCTCAGAGGCATCCTTTCTGGTCTAGAAGCAGGCAGAGGCAGGGCCAGTGACAGGGCCCTCTACCACCTGGGTAAAGAGAGGTAAAGACACAGGCTTCCCTGCACCCTTTGGGCCCTGCTAGCCCCAATGCCTGTGATGACAGAAACAGCAGCCACCATTTATCACATTCTCACTGAGACCCTCAAGGGCTGGGCAAGTTCTCCCTTCAGACCTGCAAGACGGGGATCACTCAGATCCTTTGTCTGATAGTATAGCCACATTCCAACCAGCCACCATGGGCCCAGTCCCAAGACACAACCTTCCTGCAAGACCTCAGCCTGAGTATTGGCTCTTCTCATCAAGAGCCTTGGGCTAAAGACCAGAGTCCAGGTTACCAGGCACAATATGGGCTTTTAGATAGAGGAGCAAGGATGGAGCCCAGAGGGGCCCAGGGATTAGACCCTTACAAGACCAGCATCATGTAAGAGCTTCACAAATGTCTTATAATCAGGTCCCTCTGAACAATTGTGTCTTGGAGGAAAAGCCTGGCAAGCTAGCAAGGACTTCCTGCCAACCACGCCTGCATGTGGCTTCAGGCATTGGCCCTAGGCCTGTGACTATACACATGACTTCTGTAAGTTTTTCTGCATCTAGAGGACAGGCAGACGCTGGCTCCTCAATTCTGATGCTGATGTAATAAGGTTGTGAGGTAGTTGTGAAAGCACTCGGCTCAGGACCTAACATGTTGGAAGGATTCAGCAAATGTTAAGTACATTTCTACTGGTTGTTCCCGGCAAGTGTAAGAGAGAAAGAAGAGGGGAAGGATGTAACTTTGGGACTTTGAACATAACCTGGATTGTTCCAGAATGCTGAGAATATCTCCAGGGACATGCCTCAAAATGCCAATGGGGGATTTGGGGTTTGGGGGCTACACTCCCAACTCATGCCCAAAGTGGAAGAGTGCTACCTATTCAGCCCACATAGGTATTTGATTCCTTTTTTGGCCAGAGCCCTTGTCAGTCCGATTCCTTTCTGATCTTCCCTGAGTTTAAATTTTTAGTGTGGAGCCTCTTTAAGAAAAGTGATTCTTAATTAAGGATCTGTATTCAATAGGAATGTTTTGAATTATAGGAAACCAAAAATCTGACTGATAATCAGCATGTGGAGTTGGGTGGGTCCATGGCATCAATCTTTCTTCCCTTATTCCCTGCTCCCCGTCTCCTCGTGGTTGCCAGTCATTCTTATATAGTTGCAGTCAAAATTTAGAGGGACACTGAAGTTTGCCCTCCTGCTAAAATCAGGTTTCCCTTCACCTGTCATTGACCTGAAATGAGTCACATGTTCAATCGCCAACAAAAAGAGAAAGAATTTCTGTGCTCGGCTTAGCCTAATCATGACTTAATGTGCTACTCTGCCCATCTGAGAAAAATAAATAAATCTCAGTTCTAGAAACTGAAGAAGGGGCAAGTGGCTGTATTTTTTCTTGGCTGTAATCCAGAGTATCTCCAACATTCTGAACTTATGTGAAAGACAAAAAGAGTACAAATTCTTAAAAAGAGTGGATCTCATTAAGAGTGGCTTTTATCAGAGAATCTTTCCTTTTTGGAATGAAAATATCTTTGTAATTGGCCAAGGGAGACCCTCCTCCCTCTGCACTTATAGTCTTCATACCATGGATGGTCGTGTTTTGCTAACCAGACCCCTGAAGGGCATACAGCCCATCCCTAGTAACTTTACCTTGGCTATCCCTGTGTATGCTGGTGCCAGTTGGCACATTTTACAAAGCCCTAGAAGCAGAATAACCTGGTCTTTACATAATCATACCACTGCCTTTCCCCCAATCAGGCTGAAGCCCTGTCTCACTAACTCTGCAGCTAGCACCTTCTCCCCTCCCTTCACCAATATGGAAAGAAAAAGGAGATTCTACAGGACATAGTGCCACAAGGAAAGCCTCAGGGACAAAGGACACCCTGCTCCCTGCCAGCTACTGCAGGCTAATTATTGAAGGGCTGGTTTTGGAACTCTTTAAATTCAACTGTGGTAGTTTGAAATGATGGGTATGTTAGCTTTCATCATGATAATAAAATACCTGAAATAAACAACTTAAAAAGAGGAAAAATTTATTTTGGTTCTTGGTTTGAGAGGTTTCATGGTCAATTGGCTCCATTGCTTTGGGCCTAAGGCAAGGCAGAATATTATGATGGCAGGAGCATTTATCAGAGGAGATTGCTCACTTAATGGTGAACAGGAAGCAGAGAGGAGGCACGAAGGGTCCAGGGACAAAATATACCCTCCAGAGCCTACCCTCAGTGACCTACTTCCTCCAACTAGGCCCCACCTTCTGAAGTTTCCACCCTGCTCAACCCCATAGTGCCACCAGCTGGGGGACCAAATCTTCAACCCATAAGCTGTTAAGGAACATTTAGATCCAAACTATAACAATGGATCTTCCTAGACCCAGGATCAGAGGATAAAAAGAGATCCTTGATGTGTGGAGATCTCTAGTGACAAGTCCACCTGGCTACTCCCATTCCCTCCCTGTGCAGGTGGAGCAGATCCTGGCAGAGTTCCAACTGCAGGAGGAAGACCTGAAGAAGGTGATGAGACGGATGCAGAAGGAGATGGACCGTGGCCTGAGGCTGGAGACCCACGAAGAGGCCAGCGTGAAGATGCTGCCCACCTACGTGCGTTCCACCCCAGAAGGCTCAGGTACCACAGGGATGGCCCCACACCTGAGCCAGCTGTTGGCCAGGACTTCCAGAGGCTCAGCTGTCCCCAGACAGGACTCCCTGGGCTAGTGATAATGTCTCCACCTCACTGGGCCAGTTCTTACCATTTACTCCAAAGGTTCATCTCTGGAGCTGATGGGCCTTAGCAAAACTGGCTATTTAAAAATCTCACAATGAATGAATTCTCTCCAGTGTCACTTGGCAGATGCCAACCCAGTCCTGAGACTGGGCCATTACCCTAAGTCCTCAGTGGTTCCCTGGGTTCTGGGTGTCTCCATCTAAAAGAGCAGTTCCCCCTGACATTTCCTTAGTTTACCTTTGACATCTCCCACAGCTTGCTCTGGCATATCCCCAATGTCTGGGCCATGCTCCATGTCCAACTCCCCTGGGACCCTTGTTCCTGCCCTCCTCCACTCTCTGGCTCTGAGGTCATTTGCCCAGGTCCCACCCAACTCAGGTTTGACAGGTAGTACCATAAGGCTGAGCATATCTCCCTCTGCCTGCAGAAGTTGGAGACTTCCTTTCCCTGGACCTGGGCGGCACCAACTTCAGGGTGATGCTGGTGAAGGTGGGGGAGGGTGAGGCAGGGCAGTGGAGTGTGAAGACCAAACATCAGATGTACTCCATCCCCGAGGACGCCATGACGGGCACTGCAGAGATGGTGAGCAGCTTGGGGATAAGAGGTGGGGTCAAGACAATTCAAAACCTTAGGGAGTCACCAGTCCTGGAAAAAAGAGCTCACCCACCCACCAGGGACAGGGGAAACTGAAGTCAAGAGGTCTAGTCAGCCTCAGAGGCACAGCAAGGCCGCTTAGAGGCCTCAGTAGACAGCCACTAGGCATGGCCAATGTGTTCAAGTCTCACGGTCACTGTCAGGCCAGTGTTGGTGATAGAACTGGCTAAACTGAGGTTAGGGGCAGAACTCTTAGCTGGTATGACCTTGTCCCAGAAGAAAAGTCAAAGGGTGAGGGCTGTTTGACCTCCTGCAGCTGTGCAGTCTACCCTCCCCATTGCCTTCCACCAGGTGCATGCCAAATTGGGTGACAACAACCACAATGTCTGCCTAGGCAGCAAGGCCCTCCACCATGGGGAAGACTAGAGGGGGAGCATAGAAGTGAATAAACCCTGAAGGGAGGGGCAAAGCCAGAGTCCCTAGACATGACCAGGGGCAAGGCCAGTTTCCAGAGGGAGGGTTCTAAGGCAGGAGATTGCCCAAAACTGCCTGGCCCTCATACACCTGAAATTTGCTCTCTATCCATGGAAATGGATAGCAGGAATGGTATGGGCATCTCCCTGGATTCTGGTGCTCAGCAGGGAGCTTGGTCCATCTGCAGAGTACTCGGAAATGCCCCATTCTATAGACAGGCCTTTTGAGGGGATTTGAACCTTTTACAGGTATAGGGCAGCAAGGATACCTGGGAGTAGCACCAAGAGTCTCACAGGACAGTTAGCAAAGCCTTGGTGCTGGGGAAGCAGGTGACAGCACAGCTAAACTGGGCACCAGCCTCAGGAGCTGCTATAAACAGAGCTCTGCATCCAGGGAGGTGCAGGGCTTGAGTTCTGACAAACAGTAAGAGGTGAACTGTAGACAGGCCTGATGGTCATTGGAAGGGACTGATTGCTTAGCATCCCCTGAGGAACACCTTGGCACAAAGTCCTGGGGAAGGGCTGCCAGGTGGCCTAGGATGGTAACCCAATGACCATTTTGGTGCATCTCCCAGCTCTTTGACTATATCTCTGAGTGCATCTCCGACTTCCTGGACAAGCATCAAATGAAGCACAAGAAACTACCCTTGGGCTTCACTTTCTCATTCCCTGTGAGGCACGAAGACATTGACAAGGTGGGCCAGGTAGAGGGGAGGGATAATGAAATGGATGGATATGCACCCCAGAGGAACTCCGCCCCTGCTGCTGGGAAAGAGTCCAAACTCAGCAGGGAGAAAAATATAGATTCAAATTGTGGCCCCATAATTTACTGTCAGTGAAACTTTGGAAAATAAGAATAATTTCAGCTGATTCTTACTATGTGCCAAAGCCTGCCTACAATCCTGAGAGGCATGTGCTATAATCCCCCCTGCTACAAATGAGGAGAAGAAACTGAGGTTAAGCAGCTGACCACCTCATCACTTCTTTTTTATGTACACATTTTTTAGTTGTGGATAATTACAATACCTCTATTTAGTTTATGTGGTGCTGAGAATCGAACCCAGTGCCTCACATGTACAAGGCAAGTGCTCCACCATTGAGCCACAACCCCAGCTCAACACATCATCACTTCTGGCTGAGTCAAAAATGTGAAGGATCTGAGATTTTTACCTCACCTGCAACTCACAAGCTAGCCTGCCAGTTATGACCAAACACACACACACACACACACACACACACACACACACACA